GTGCAGATTCTATGTCATCAGAACCTCAGGACAAGGAGGCTGCAGCAAAGGGAGCAGACTGGCAGTAATCAATTCTACTTTGGATCTGGCTGCATTTATAATTTTTCTCCTGAGCCTTTTTTGGTCAATTATGCACAATCTGTCAGTTATCATCCATTTTTTCATTAATAGCTGTATTTTTCTAAATATTTTTCCATCACAGTAGTTACTCCTATGGCAACACAACCCTCCAGCATTCATTCCTTGAGAGTGACCACAGCACTGCAAGTGAGAGACAATTGAATGGGGCAGCCTACATCTGTCCCCTATTTTCCATTCAGAAAGCATCCAAGTAATTGGCCAGCCAGCTTGATTGCCAAGTATTTCAATATTAAAAATATCTGTATCCATGATTAGTCAAAAGCAATACATACAATTTAAGACAAGGAACAGCAGGTGACATATGTTTAAATTTTGTTAGTACAACTCTTAAATTCCTCCCCACCCCGCCCTCAGCTACAGAAATATAGATGATTATAGAATTCCAGATCTTATACTGTTAGATCTTATGCACTGAGAGATTAATATCAGCTGCATTTGGTTGTTTCTGGAGAGCTTTGGGACTTCTTTTCAGTTTGCTGATGGAGTTTTTACTTCCTGAGGATGTTAAATTTGCATTATGTTTGCCTTCCTTCTTCTCTCAGTAACTTTTGAATTGATTGTGTAATTCCAACAAATATTTTTCATAGAAGGTTATAGTACCTCAAAAATAATAATTTTAAATCCAAGGGAGCACAAGATCCCTTGCAAGTTTCCTCTGGGAAAAGAAAAATAAACAAAACTGTTTACAACTACACCGGAAGACACATTAGAAAATGCTCTGGTATAGACGGGATAATTTTGATTAGATTTCATTCCTCATTAGACAACAAAGAACGTGGCAATAAAAAAAAAAGCTACAGAAAAACAAACAAGGATACACTCATGAATCCTTATGTTTTGGGTTGCCTTGTTTGGATAAGGATTGAAAAAGCAAAGGTAAGGAGAGGAAGTATACATAGATTCTGCAGGTTTAATGAGATTGTCTTTAAACCAAACATTTTGTAACATTTTTTTAGTGAATATTCATTTACAAGCGTATAAAGGTGTAAGCATAGAACATTGTTCTACAATTCTTCAAATGGCCAAGAAAACTGTGCTTGAGAAAATTAAAATTAAGCATCTTCAAGAGTCTCTTCAACTGAAAATTGGAAAGAATAATTGCTGCAGCATGCTTAGGAGACTGATCTCTCAACCCCTGCCATGCCAAACCCATTATCACCCCAAAGGGAATAATAACTGTCATGCCTGGTCTCGAGCTCGAGTATGTTTGTTAGTGCCCTAGCTGATACAGAAAACAAGATCCAACATAAGAGATGCTTCACACTAAATTGTGCTAATGAATTACAGCGACAGCAGAGAGTTTTAACCTTCAGAGAACACAAGAGCTGCTCGCTAACTAGTCAAGTACAGGAAATCAGGCTCTAGCAAAAAGGGCATTTGTACATGCAAGGAAATAAAACAAAGCTGCGCTTGTTCTAGTTCATAAATAATAGCTCCACCATCTTCTGCATAAGGAGGAAACATAATTAGTTCCAGGGTACAAAATAAAAACCAGTCTGGGCACCTCAGAAGTCTCTGAAGGAGAGGGCTGGCCATGGCAGTGAACTAGATCCCACCTAAAGGACGGTTCTGGTGAAAAAATTCCCTCACCAGTAGGTTCTCGGGTTCAGGCTCCAAAATAGACTCTCCCTAAAGAAGGACCCAAAGGTGAAAGGCAAGCACAAAGAATGAAATCCAGACTGACAGAAGTTCAGCAGGCTAAGGAAAACATTTCACAATCTATCCTTCTGCTGCACAGATGGCTCAGTACATGCAGGAGCCATGGGTATAGGCACCTTTTTAACAAGGTTTCAAAAAGCATTAATAGTGTTCCCAGACACTACAATAACAGAGAACAATACTTACTACTTTTTATTAAAACCAGATTAATGTTAAATGTAGCAATGTATTGAAATTTAAGTGTCTTTTACTGCACAGAAAGAGGTTATTCTCCAAATACCTGCTCCTTTACCTTTTCATTTACATTCTGTAACTTCCTGGATTTCTACGCTGGCTTTTTTCTTTTTACTATGCATATAACCTGGACTTCAAAACTTCAGTTGTGTATTTACTTTTAGACAGGTTTACAGTTCCATATTCCCACATACCAGGCTCCTGTTTAAAGATCTTGCAGTTCAAGACTCAAAATTTCACTGAGCACCAACTAATTAATACTGTTCTAAACATAAAGAGGGCGTGATCTACCTGGAAAGGCAGGGAGCAACTCTTCCGTGGAATACTTATGAACATGGAGAAATTCAGACCAACACATTCTGAATGCAGCACACACACTGCAGATGTTATGGGTCCCAGAGGCAAACTTTCTGCACATATTTCTGTCCAGGGAATCCTAGCCAAAACATGGCAAGCCTAAACATAAAACTTCCAACTGCTATGAGAGAGAGAGGTACATTCATACTTTTCACATAAAAGCCAAAAATACATTTGAAAGCAAGTAGAAGAAAAGATTTACATCTCCCCTTCTAGACTTCTTCCAGAAAGATTTTCCAGTCATCTTATTTGCTCAATAAAAAAAACAGCAGAACACACCTCAATCTGGAATATCCTACTGCATCATTAGTAAAAAAAATCTAGTAATAAACACTGGGAATAAAACTCTGGTTTACAAAGATTATAGGGTGACCAAATTCCCCCCACCAAGGCAAAAGCAATTCTGTGATTTCACAAATTCTAGGCACTTCTTCCAGTCCTTGCTTTTATTTATTCTCTCATGTCTCGGTGCCCTACAGACAACCTTCCCTATGTGCTGAACCAGTTCTGTCCTTTCTACAAGTATCTTAACATATTTTCTAGCACGCTTGTAGAGACAACTTAAAATTCAGCTTTTATTATATAATTATGCAGCTAAAGTCTAAATCAGTATCATTCAGATAATTTCTTAAGTATCAATTAAACTTCAGCTTTTGGACTTTCCAAGACTATGCTACGGCAAAAATACACCAAAAAATAGCAAATAGAATAAAATACAAGGTCTGAGATGTTTTAGTTCAAGTGTTAGCATATGTGCAAGCAAAATAATATGCAAACTGCATAAAGAGAAGGAAATAGTAGTTCTGGAATACAGTTCCTATCATTTGAGGGAAAAGAGTTTAATTTTAGTGAATGCTGAAAAGCCACAAAGCACCATAATTCAGCAGTAACTATAAAGGCTCCTATGAATAGCAATGGAAGAAAATGGAGACAGATAAAAGGAGCCATTTTTAAGAAATTAATCCCCTCTCCTCTTCACCATAATGAATGTTATGCTCCCACTTTAAAAAAAAACCAACAAACTAAACTATATAAGAAAACCCAACTCTGATACACGTCAGAAATGAAATGAAGTAACAATTACACAGACATTTTCTGCTAACCAAAACCACACTTCCCAGTCTTCAAGGGATCATTTGTCCCTGAGACAACCACTCTGGCTCAGGCTAGACTCTAAGTTATTGATGTTGTTTATGGAGGTGGGGGAGTGATTCCATCTGTCTGTGATGGGCACTGCATGTTTTGAAGAGAAAATAGTCAATTCCAAACAGTTTACTGAGAGAAAGCTTGACCTAGACAAGCTGAAAAGCTACTGGGTGACTGCCAGGCACAGCTCAGTCTCAGCAACTGATTTGTCCATGATAATCAACTTACACAGATGAACCTTACATTGTGGTTTACATGTGTGTGGGATCTCTATGTTATCTATGCTAATAAAACATTAATCAAGGGCCAAATTTATAGCAGGCATTTTGTAAGTAAGGTCAAGACAGGTCAGCCTCACATAATAGGAAACAACTATAGGCTAGATCTTAACACTGTAACTGAACACCCTTGTTACTTTACCTTGGCCCTTGGGATCAAGACTAGTAGCAAAATGTTTTTGCTGCCTCAGAATGGTGTTTCCCCTACCATAAACTGAAATGCAACCATTAAAACCCATTAAAATGGCCATTATTTTTATGTATCTTGAGAACATGTATATCTTAAAGAAAAAAAATCTCAAATAGCCATTTTCGCCATTCCTACAAGGATAAACAGATATTTATATAGCATATTAATTTACATGATAAATTATTCTGGTTTTAGTTTAGTAGCTGTGCTAATCACGTAAAATTTATTTTCTATTTAAATTCCTACTAGCTGAAGCTATTCACTAACAGAAGTTACATTTAAATAAATGGTATTTCTTATAATACACCTTAGCTTACTTGTTAATTAATCTTTAAAAAAATCCTTCCGATAAAAAGTAAATATTGCACTTAGTCTGCCTCAACAATCAATTTGTAATGAAGAAAATATTGATGGTTCTGAACACTGACTGCAAGTCAAAGAGCATGGCCTCATCACCTGCTCTGTCATTTTCTATAAGTTCCAATAATATACATATAAAGTTATGGATAGAACATTAAACTAATTGGTAATATTAAGGGTTTTTTTCCCTTAGAGGGACTCTCCTCCTTTGTAGTTGAAGAGATAGGTCAGAAAAAAATGAGCAAACTGGAATCTAATTTTTGAGACAGAGGCTTATCTTACAGTTCCTAGCAGTAATGTCTTTCAAATACAAATTCCCTTTCTCAAGAGATTAGCCGAATACAAATTATAGTTTTAACATTAACCAGTACACAAGGACTGGAAGAAAGAAAATCCATGACACACAGATAAGCAAAGTATTTAATGAAACTTAAGAGCATTAAGATTCTGCAAAATCCCATATTCTGAATTAGAACTGAACTGAACTAATAAAGACCATGAAACCATGCTCATAAAACTCAAAGAAAATTACACAAAAAGGAAGAAGAAACATTATTTTTAAGAAGTTTCAAGGCACAGAACTCCCTGAAGGCTAAGACATGATAGCAGAGGTGCTATCAAATGTTGTGACTTACCTTCCTTCATTGACAAGCTCAATAAAGGCCAGGCCAGCATTTTTCTGTATAGAGTTTTGCCACTCCTGGGTAAAGACAAAAAAGAAGAGAAAAATAGTTGTATAAAAACAAAACTTGGAAGAGGCATTTTCAGAGACAAAATTGCACACTTTCTTTTCAGCTTTAGCAACTTACAGCACCATCAGCCAACACACAAAGCACTAATTGTGCGCTGATCAGGAAGCAATGAATGCCAGCATGAAGGAATAGGGCAGCATCATTTACTTAAGGTCATATTAAGGGGAGAAGAAAATCCAAAAACATTCCACAAAGGATTCCATCATTTTCTTTTGTTATGTCATGTAATAACCCTGAACTTGCTCTGGTTCATGGATGCTTTTTGCCTTATTAAACCATGATAATGCTAGAAACTGTTTCACATTAAGGCAAGGCTTATTCCTTAGACATGAAGTTCTCTTGTAGTTTAAAGCCTAGTAGACACACTTCCTAATAATAATCCTCACTTCAGCATCCCATAGTCATGTCTTCTCATTTAAAAAAAAAATCTGTTAACAATCCAAATACTGCACCATTAACACAGTGTTTTAAAAAATGTAACGTTTTTAACAAACTGAAATTGTGCTAATGGTAGACAAACATGCACTGCACATTCCTTAAATCCAGCTGAACATTGAATTAAGCAAAATTCTACACCTCTTAAACATGTAGGTGGGTTTTGCCTGAGCCCCACAAGAGACATGGGGGAAAGCAACCAACTCAGATGACCTATCACCGGGGCTTGCTGACCTCATTCGAAAGATGAGAAGAAAACAAAACTAGTTAAAAACAAAGTATATTTTTTAATCCTAGACTACATAGAAACAAGTTAACCTTGTTAAAAATTAGAGCAGTAAATGTGTGTACCTCATCTTTTGGGGAAAATGTAGATGCAAATAGATAGAACAAATACAGCTCTTGATTCAAACTCTAACTCTTCTAATCTAATACAGAAGACTGATTCTGCAGCAGACAGATAAGTTCAATGTGCTTTTTCCACATCACCTTCCTTGACTTTTTACTCTTTGTTCCACGAAATAATAATCCTACTGATTATCTACATGAGTATTTCTATCACTCTAGTTATTCAAAAAAAACCTCATCAGCTAGAAGTGCAAAACAGGAAATATGTCTTAAATAAATTTCAGATTTCTGAATGTAGGAGGTTAATACACACAGTGTCAGAGTGCATTTTTTGGTGCTCAGTGTCACCGAATTACCTCTCAGTCAGTGAGACAAAGGTTTGATCAGACACACACTGAAACAACATTGTTATTTACAACTTAAATCCTGCCCCTCTTCCCCCCCAACACACACACACACAACAAAACAAAGCAAAACAAACAAACACAAAAGTATTTTTGAATTTCAAAAGCAGGGGAGAAATTATAACTGATTTCTCAATCTGTTTTTCCAGGCCTAACATGCTTATCATGTTTATCATGCTTGTCATGTTTAAGCTGTAACAATGTATTAGAATTTTCAAAGAGTCAGAATTAAAAGCAGAATAATTGGAACTTGTGATGTATTATTCATCATATATTATAAATGCATTCTAGTGAAAAACAAAAGCCTTTTAGTTTCTAATATTCTAAACAAAATTGCATATGCAAATAATGCTTCTAAGAAGTTTTAAATGTAGTATCAGGTTCTAAATATTTACCTTATATAATGACAACTGAAACCATTCTTTTAGCTAAAGTGTGAGAAAACTCAAATAAAGCAAAATAACTTTTTCCACTTATGACACTGTCCATCTGTTGTTCTGCTCTCTAAAGAGCTCACAACAATACTTGAAATTTTAATTGGCGAAGATGGAAGCTGCCAAAAGTGAAAAGAAAGTGCATTTATCATGATACTTTTCAGCATTTTTCTCTACATCAGACATCTTCAAAAGAAGGTGTTAGTCTAAACATTTTCGTAAATCACAGCTGAACACACCCTAAAGCTTATTTTAATAGTTGAAAGAAAAGACTAATGGTCTCCATCTTTCATGATCCATTCCATATTTCCCCTCAGTATATGTTCACTCTCAAACAATTACACTCAGTATACATATTGCATTATTATATCAGCATCTTAGTTATCCATCTCCCAGAGGTATTAGGGAAAAAACATGTTAAAAGCTTCAAACTCAACCACTAATGCAACTAAATAACTACAGAACCCATTTCAGCACTTCTCTGAGGAAGGCCTGTAAGGTAAGATCAACTGAGTCGATAATTTCATACCTGTACCAAGTTGTAGGTAATTGACCATCATTTCCCATGGCTGTAAATGTTTAGTGACCAAGAGACATCATCTGCTTTTAATGCTTTTGGTCACTGAACACTCAACAGTGAGGCAGAGGGAAAACCAAGAAGCACTAGACATGATCACAAATAACTCAAATGAAAAATCACCATGACAAGGAGACAAATAAGAAATCACATTTTATTCAAATACTGTGTCTGATAAGGAAATTTTCTAACTCGTTATTGTGTCACCTATTTCCTTAATAGAAACTATAAGCAGCCCCATTATACACTAGGCAAGGACTAAACCTTTCCTGAAATGGTGCTACAAACCTCATCTGAATTTTAATTTTGTATGGAATAACATATTACATTTCCTTTCTATACAGCAGAACTCTGAAGTGAGCAAAAACACATCCCAGTCCTCTATAGCTTTAATTTTATAACATCAACAAGTTTCATTAGCACATTCTTATTGAGTGCACAAGGGTCATTAAAAGAAAACATTATACAGTAGTGGACTTAAACCCCTCCTTTCAGAAAGTAATAACTTCCCCAAGGTTGATATCATGACCCATTGTCCCATTTGAATAATGCTAGGGTTATTTAATTTATTTTACAGTGGGGTTTTTTAATTAAGTTAACTAATGATCATTTGTATGACAGCACCAAATACACTAATAAAACTCACAAATTACTGCATTTACTTTTTTCTAGGAAATACCAAGACCAACAGCATTCATTAGAGTTTAACCAAAGACCAAAACATATAAAATGCCAAAAGCTGGATTAGACCCTAACCAGCAACAAGATCAGTGTAGCAAACAGTCTTTAGTACTTGTACATCCCATTTAATCTCATTGCAACTACATGCATTTGTGTAGCTATTTCAGTCTTCAGATGCATTTAGAAGTCTTTCACGCTACTTGATCCTCATATTTCTTCTCGTAAAAACAAGGTACATCTCTAATCACACAACATGATCAGATGAGTGAAGTTCTTAAAAAATTTCTGCCTTGAGTTTGATTTTTTTCTATTTGTTACTGGTTTCCTACCCATTCTGAGTATCCTCATTCAGACCAAATACTTCAGGAACCTCTTATTTACCCAAAAAAGGCTTTTTCTGCAAGCAGCAGATAGCAGGAGCCAGCTTCAAAACAAAGAATGCAGGTGATTCTTTAAGCAACATGTAAAGAATCTATCACCAAAAGCATGTCATGGTGATTAACTGTTCAATGGGATCAAGAGAAGACAGAACCAGTACACATCAAAAAAATAAACACATTAATATTAGATAAATACACAGAAACTGCAACCAATTCAGAAAATACCCTGAGCAAAAGTTGCTGGAGAGTGGAGAATATCACACTTGTCTTATTTTATTCTTTTTGAAAACCTCTTTGTGTCTATAGCTGGAGATAGGACAAGAAGCGAAGTGGAGCCTTTATCTAGCCAAATATAACCATTCCTAAACTGCAATCAAACAAATGCCAAGAAAATTTTTTTGATACACATTTTTCTTGGTTTGGAATTTGAAGTGCTTGCCAGTAGGCATCAAATGGACATATCCCTCCTCGGCTGTATACCCTCGGTAAAGTAATATAATAATATTTTAAACAATTATGGAGGGGTGTTGGACCTAGATGTTCTTTGAGGTAATTTTCAACTCAAAGCATTCTACAATTTTATGAATACCCCAAAACATACATTCTTCAAGGTATATTACAAACATTTGCAAGACCAACCCATCAACTGGTCTGATGGCTAAGCAATTAACCATGGATCTTGAACAGAATTTTTGAAACATTTCCAATAGATGAAAACTGCCTTATTTCCAACTGTAGGACACTGTTCTGATGCTCTCATTCACATACATATATACACATGCATGCTCCTCAAAAATTCACTTTTCTCAGAAACTTTAAAAAAAATCCTTCTAAACAGTTCAGCACATTCTACAATTAAGGATTATATCTAGCAGTTGGAACATACACTCATCAGCCAGTAAAAAATAGAAAATTCTTCTCTAACCCATCCTTCCTATAAAGCTGGTGGAGTTTTTATAATTCATTTTGGTTATGAAACAAAGGAGAAGGATGGTACTGACAACTATGAATGGGGCACTAAGGAGCAGGGTGGGAAAATGTGTTAACATATGACTAAGAGACATATTATATCCTAGAGTAAAGGTCAAATCTGCATGAAAAACTTGTTCATAGAGAGAGATACACTAATCTTTAAGTGCCTAAAGTAAACTATCAAGAACTTTTCAGCAGTGTTTGCACTTGGTGTCAGCACTCTCTCAGCACCACATCCACTACAGGCTTGAATGAACTCAGCAATAAAGAACATATAGTGAAAAGTAGATTATATCTCAGCTGGGTTCTTCATAATTAAAAAAAGTTAGACTGCATGTTAAGCAGAATCTCTGCAAACATAAATTACTTTTAAAGTCTGAAGCATGCTTCAGTTATTTTAATCTATGAAACTCCATTGAAAAAAAAATAAAAGCAACATCGAGTTATGGGAAATCATATCTACAAACCATGCAGCAATTTAATACTGAAATTAGTATATGCCAAGTACTTACAAAAGAGAAACATTATGCAAAGATGTGACACAAATTAATACAAAAATAAATATGAGAACACATTTGAGATAGTTATCCAGCATATATACAGATATACCTGTACGCTCAAATAAAATTAAAAAAACATAAACAAATAATGAAAGAACTATCAGAAACTGGCCAAGAAAAAAAAAAAATTCAATAAATATTTTCATGGCCCTTTCTC